GTATTGCTTTGAATACAATCCATAGGTGTTCTGTATTACATTATAAATGTCATTACTTTATATTCTATAACTGCAGGTTCTATTCCCTTTGGGCCAAAAGCTATTAAGAAAGCATTGGGATTGTTTACTTCTGAGTGGTTTCATGGGTTTTTTAAACATTATTTTGTTATTAATTGCTAGTTTGATCATCAAATTGTAGGTGAATACCTCCAGCAGAGAGCTTGCTCTTTGAAATGTATCTAGATTTACTTTATGGTTCAAAAGTTCCTAAATATAGCTGCCATCGATAATTACCTACAAGTAAGTTAGTTACATAGGTTGACTGACTGACTGATTGATTTAATTTATTTACTTAGAAATAGGGTCTTGTTTTGTCACCCAGGCTGTAGTGCAGTGGCACGATCACGGTTCATTTTAGCCTTTGCCTCCTGGGCTCAAGCAATCCACCTGCCTCAGCCTCCTGAGGAGCTGGGACCACGAGTATGTGTCACTTCACCCAGCTAATTTTTTTTTTTTTAAAGAGACAGTGTCTCCCTATGTTGCCCAGGCTGGTCTTGAACTACTGGGCTCAAGTCATCCTCCTGCCTCAGCCTCCCAAAGTGCTAGTGGGCCACCGCACCTAGCCAAGATTTTTTAAAATAGAATCTCAACTAACAGCCCAATTTAAAAAGGAGCAAAGCTTATAAACAGTTCACAGCAAAAAAATACAAGCGGTTCTTAAAGATATGAAAAGATGTCCAACATGATTCATATTAAGATAATAAATTTAAACAACACGAAACACAATTCTCACCTATCAGATTGGCAAAAATCCAGTGTTTGACAGTACATTCTATTGGCTTTGGAATAAGAAGCACTTTGATACATTGCTGGTCAAAGTTTTGAATTTATACAACCCCTACCAAGGGCTATGTAACATTAACTATCAAAATACAAATGGGTTTATGTTTTAACCCAGCTATCTCATCCAAGAAACTATCATAATCCATAAAAACTGACACCTGTACAAAGTCATTGATTTAATCATTATTTGTGTTACCAAAAGATTGGCAATAGTCATTAACAGGGATGTATTATTATTATTATTATTATTATTACTATTGAGACAGAGTCTCACTCTGTCACCCAGGCTAGAGTGCAGTGGCGCTATCTCGGCTCACTGCAGCCTCCACCTCCCAGGTTCAAGTGATTCTCCTGCCTCAGCCTCCCGAGTAGCTGGGATTACAGGCGCATGCCACCACACCCAGCTAACTTTTGTATTTTTAGTAGAGACAGGATTTTGCCATGTTAGCCAGTCTGCTCTTGAACTCCTGACCTCAGGTGATCCATCTGCCTCAGCCTCCCGTAAAGTGCTGGGATTACAGACATGAGCCACCACACCTGGCCCAGGGGATGTATTAAATAAATTATTTCACATCCACGCAATGGAATACTATGCAGTAGTAAAGTAAATTAAGACATTGTCTATACGCTATTATGGAAATATCTCTAAGATATATTGTTAAGAGAAGCAAGTTACAGAATTCCATAGAATGCTATGGAAATACGGAAGGAAATAAGAATATATATAATTATACATCTTTACTTATTTAATGTGTGTGTGTGTGTGTGTGTGTGTGTGTGTGTGTGTGTGTGTGGTGTGGTGTACAAATGGTCGGGTTAGAGCTTGGAAGTCTAGGTTTTGGTTTTTATTTGTTGGGGTTTTTGGTTTTTGGTCTTGCTTTGCTTTACTTTGTTTTAAAGGTCCAAAATGATTCTGATGTAGCAGGTCCACAGAAAACCACTGATATACTATGTGATCAATTTGTGTAAATATTCTCTAGGCAACTGAAAAGAAGCAAAAATCTGTCAGAGGATCAAAGTCTGATAGATACAGAAACAGAAATATATAAAGAAAAATACGTATATAATTGACATATTAATGAGATGAATAAATATCACTTCTTACCCTAGTATTGATATGTCAAGTGCTGTGTGTTAAAAATCTACCGTTACAATCGTATTCTGTGAATTTTTCCATATATACATGTGTACATATATAACATATACTACTGATAATATAAAGATGTGTATCTTCATTATTGATTTTACCTTTTATGAAAAGATGGATAATGGCCCTCTTTATCATACTGATTGCTTTTTTTGCCTGGAATTCTACTTTTCTGTATTAATATTGCCAATCCTGCTTTCTGTTTTTGACTTTTGTAATTTTTTCTTAACAATTTTCAAATATTCTGAGTTACTTTCTTTAATAAAATATAGATCAATTTGTACAGGTTTTTGGAGATATTACTCAAATTGGGAATCTTTGTTGTTTGACAATGGAATTTAACTCATTTATATTTATTAACATCACATATGTAACTCACACTTCTACCACATTTATCATTCCTTTATTTTCTTTTTCTACATGTGTATTTTCTTTGTCTTCTTTTACTATTTGGAATGCTTCCACTCTACTAGTAATTTTATAGCTATGAAATACTAAATTTTCATCAATATACATCCAGCGATTAGTTTCCTTTCATTGATTTTGTCTGTTAATGGGTGAGTCATTTTGACTACCAGATTTAAGTCTTCAATCAGCTTAAGAACATCAGCTGTCCATATGTTTAATTCCTGCTCACTACCCTCCATATTCATCAGAATCTCACTCATCATTTTAAAGTTGTGTTTCCTTGGAATTACGCAAGAGTTTCTTAAACCTGTTCCCCGTATGAATAACTGGATTTTCTACAAAGTAGATTCTGCTTTTTACTGCTTCATATACCATTTAAAATTCTTTTGGGTCATTTTTAGTTTTCTTATATTATCTCCCTAACTTAACCAGCAACTGTTTCCTCTCATTCTGTTGGCTCACGCTATCTTTTCTTTCACAGTGTGTATTTTTTCTAGAAGTTTGTGGAAAATACAAAGTTAATATCTCAAATTTACCTGGTTTTCTGTAAAAGTAAATACTTTTCAAAACTCTGTTATTTTTCTAACCAGTTTATGCTTTTTTAAGGCAGAATCTCTTCTCTTACAAACCTATAAAATTTCTTCTTCTTTACATCCAGACTTGAAACGGAAGAAATGTACACAGGCTTGTTGTCCCCCAACTGTGGGTAGACTCTTCTTGGCTACTCTCATGGCACACACAGGCTGTCAGAACACTTAGATTTTAAACTGGGGAGTTGATAGTTACAAATTTGGGACATCAATTAAAAAATCCCAGAGGCCTATGGGGAATGAGGAAGAAGTTTGGACAGCAGTCACTGCCAGCAGGGGAATTTCATCTCGGGATAATTTCTTCTTTGTGTCTGGCAAAGCTGCTAAGCCATGGAGCCAGTTTTTTATGTCTGGCTTCCAATTTGGCCTGGCAATCACTCCAAGTACATGATGTGACTGCCCAACTTCCGAGCTGGTGTGGGCTTCTCTTCACCACCCTACCCGCTAGCTTTCCATCTGGGAGAGCCACATTGGGGCTTGCCCGGGGCAGTGATTTCAAATGCTGTTGACCCACAACAATGAAAGTAATCCTATGTGGAAAGATCCCTGGCTGTTCCTCCATTCATTCTCACTCCAAAAGAGGACAGGATTCTTCCAGAATCTCCAACTTCATAGATTCCCATACGACACTGCTTTCCTGTGGTTCAACCCTCAATATTCACCCACACTTACTCCTAACTGCCCCACAGATAGCAAAACAAAAACAAAAAACCCTCAAAGTACGCGCTGTGTGCCCGATACCTTTCTCTAGCTTCAGCCCCGAAGCGGCACTTCCAGTCCTAACGCAGGATACAGTATTAGAAAAAGGGGGTTACATCTTTGTATTCTGCTGTCATCTTACTCAAAAATCCTACCCAATCTTGGTCTGACTTTTATTAAGGTAGCAATTTTCTTCGCAGAGGTTCACCTAGCTGCAAACCCTATTTGGAGATGGAGATCCAGTTATTAACCCCCCAGAAAATGGGCTCCTGCTATTTAATTGACTCTTCTATGCCTTGCAAATATGATTTCCAGCCAAGTGAACCTCTGTAGAGAAAATTGCTTCCTTTCTTGACAAGAAACAAACTAAGATTGGATGGGTGCTGGCAACATCCTCAAACCACTGACCCCCACCTTTCCCAAAGCAGGGTTATGCATCCTTATTCCCTCTGATATTTATCTCAAAATTTGGGCAGGAAAAAAAAATGTGACTGCTCTTTTCCAAATACCTTCAAGAATTTTCAATTAGATTTCACAAGTAAGGATTGAGAGCTTCCTGCTGAGCACCAGCCCACCAGGGATAGAGATAAATAAGACACAGACTCCCCGCCAAAGCATCCTGTGCATATTGCTAAAATAACAACACCCGTGACACACATTAAAATTCACAAAACCAAGCGCCTTTCAGAGAGCAGGGACCAAGTCTCAGCCCTCATTGTATCTCTAACAAGAGATACCACCTCGTGGTACAGAGGAAGTTTTACAAAACATGTTAGCTAAACCAAACAGAAACCAGTTCCAGTTCTTGCCCTTGAGAAGGTCACAATCCAGAGAGAGGTGCCCTGGCTTCCGCTATAAATCAGCGCTCCTGTTGTGAACATCACCGTACCTCAGGGAACCCAGCAAATTACATATGACAAACACACAGGGCACTACCTTTCCGGACGAGATGTACACCACAGGCTGGACCCTGGAGACCCCTCTCCCAGGACTCATCAGGATGAGTCACACTGAACTATCCCTACTTTTCTTCCCATCTTTCCCAGAGCCATGGCCTTGTAAGAAACAGGGGCAAGGAGGGGTACGGTCTGGGTGACCTTGAGACCAGGACGCTACTGTCAGCTGACGGAGCACACGGTCTCCCTGCTAGGAAACTTCAGACACAGCCCCAGGATTCCAGCAGACCTGTCCCCCCAGTGCATCCAGACCGGACTGGTCAAACCGGTATTTCTGAGTCTCACCCCAGCCCCCACCACCACTGATGAGAGCCCCGCCTGGAAGAGGAGTAGCCTCAAGCCGTGCGACAGCCCCACCTGAGAATGATCCGGAGGTACTCAATCCCCTCTGCCTCCTCGCACTTGACGGACAGGATCAAGTTCCCCAGGCTGCTGCCAGTACAATAAAAGTTTAGATGATCCTAAAAAGAGAAAACTGGGTGTGAGCAGGAAGGAGGAAGAAACCTTCCTGATATGTCCCCCTACACCAACTCCTTCACCAGGTGTGAGAATACACAGCAACAAGGAGAAGGATGCTACGGATGCCAGTGACGACGACATGAACAGGCACCAACAGAATCCTCAGGATGCCCAGGCACTATGCCAGGGGCTTTGTACCCCCGTGTCCTTCACGCCTGACCACGGCCGTATTCGGGAGAGAACAGCATCCTGGTTTTCACACATGGGAAAACCCACGGGCATGGAGGTTAAGTCACAGCCCGGGACCACACAACTAGTAAGTAACAGATCCAGGGCTCAAACGCACATCTGTCTTGACTCTAAAGCACAAAGTCTTGCCTGCAGGAAACTGAGTCCGCATTCTCATTGCCGGGGGGCAGCCCTCCCCAGTTAAGACTATTTGGGGCAGGACCGCAAGGAGGAACCCTGGCACCTCCACCAATGGCAGCTGGGAGGTTTCCGGACCAGTGGGCCACTCCCTGGCTCGGGGAACACAGGCGAAAAACACAGCTCCCCAGACCCGCTGGATCAGATCCAGGCCCTGGAATCCGATTGCTAACAAGACCCCCAGGGCTCTGCTGCAGCCTCTCCCCTCCTGTGAGACTCTGCAAAGCGGCTTCAGGCTACAGACTTCAGAATCTGCCCTCGGCTTACCTCAAGAATCTGTTAAGGCAGGGCAGAATTTTTTTTTTAATGTAACTTTGTCACTTTTAAACCATCAGAGGCTCCCAGCCAGCCACTAAGCAGTACCAGTACGCAGAGGACCTACCTGAATGAGGACAAGAGAGACCTGTCGATTAGATGGAAACAGAGGCTTCCGAGGTGTGAAAACATTTTTCCCCAACACGCAAATCTCCACCCACCGTCCTTCACCTCAAACACTACCCATTCCATCAGCTCCTAACACATTTGCGGGGGGTGGTCCCCACAAGGACTCATTGCACTGGGCCCCCCGACTGTTGCACGGCCCCCCTGCCCTGTCCCCTATCCCAGGACACAGCCCATCAGACCCTCCAACTGAGACAGCAGCAGGCAGAAACGAAAGCACAGACTGGGAAGGAGGTAAGAGGCGAAGGAAAAGGGGGCCCTGGAGAGAGGACCCTGGGGCACCCTGCCCTCCCCGACCCCGGCAGCTCCTCTCCGCACGGTCCCCAGCCTCACCTTCCCTAGGAAGTGCCTGCGGTAGGCCCTGGCTTCGCCCTTGCACTCCAGCTTGTAGCCAAACGTGTTGGGGCTGAGGTTGTCCTCTTCCTCCTCCTCACAGATGCTGCTGCCCAGCGATGTTGGGGTGCCCACGTTCTCCGGGTCCTCAATCCAGTAGCCCCCAAACTGAGGCAGGATGACCTGAGGGTATGGGCCTCCCTTCTCCACAACCTGAAGGCAGAAGGAGGCCTTGCCCTGCAGCCGGCCTTTGGGACCGCAGGGGAGAGGGGGGCCAGTGGCGGTGTCCCCACTACCGCCGTGCTGCTCCCAGGAGAGGGCCTGGTACCCACTGGTACCTGAGGCCAAAAGCAGTAACATGAACCCCTTTTCTAAGCCCCACAGCCTCTCCAGCTTCCTTCACCAACCCTGTAGCCCCAGGGTGGCAAGGCCGAGATAAGCACCCCCAACTTCCACACGGAAAAGCTGCGGTTACAAAGACAAAGACAGGAAGAAAGGTCCCAAGCCCCAGGTTCTCTCCCCTGTGGGGCTGGGCATGGCCCATCGCCATCATTTCCCCAGGGACGGGACCCAGCGCAGGCTGCAGAGCAGGTGGGAGTGAGGGGCAGGCGCCTACCTCGTCGATGCTGGGGTACGGGATGTAGTCATCCTGCAAGACAAACCAGGGGATGCCACCGTGAGTCCCGGCAGTGCCCATGAAGTCTGAGCGCTGTTTCCAGGCCTAGCAAGGGGGATCTGCCGTGGGGGCTTAGCAGGCTACGTGGGGCTTTGAGGGAGGCACAGTCGGTGGAAGAACAGCTCAGAATCAGCTCTGGGATCTGACATCCACCATGTTCTTCTCGAAACTGACAGAACCCGAACATCAACCCTGCCAGCTGATGATGCAATACACAAAGGCACTGAACTTCTCACCGCCCGTGATACCAGCCCCTCATCCTAGAATGCCAATTCCGGAAAACGACCCCTGGTCTCACCCAGCACCTGTCTCTAGGCAAGGGTTCTGACCTCCAAGGGATAAGAGGCACCCCTGGGCTTGGAAATGGAACCCGAAGCTGAGGGCCGACTGCCCCCTGGAACCTGGGACGCAGCCTGACAGCCTCACACTGTACTGGACAGGGAAGACCCAGGCCACACGGCCAAGCCTGAGCTCCCACCGAGGCCTCCCCCAGCCTGCTCAGAAGCTGCCCTAAGGCATGGATCCAGGACCCCTCTGCTGCCCATCCTGCACTAGGCTAACAAGGGCACAGTCACTCAGGGGCCGTGGCCAAGGTCAGAGTCAGAGGGTGTGAGATGGAAGACCCCAGCACCTGGCAGCTCCTCCTGCCTTCCTCTCGCCCTGGCCCCTCACCAGGGCCCTCTGGCCGCCCCCTCACCCACCCAGCCCACCTTGTTCTTCTGGGGTCCTGGCTTCTGCTCTTCAAGCTTGATCCCCTATAGAAACAAGGAAAACAGAATCCACAGAAAAGCAGAGGTCAGAAGAAAAAGCCGGAGGAAGAGCACCTGGCCTTGCAGGGGTTAGTAACAGGAGCAGAGCCACAGCCGGCCCGTGCTGGGCTGGCACATCCCACACCTGGCCGCTGTCAGCCTCACAGCAGCCTCAGGTAAGGCGGCAGGGCCGCTGGGCTGACGGCACAGACTTGAGCCAGATCACCAGGGTTCAAATCCCAACACTGCCTCCTATCAGCCTGATGACCTTGGCAAGCCACAGAAACTTCTGTGACTCAGTGTTCTCATTCGTGAAATGGGAATGATGGTGGTGTCCACTATGGTGGTGAGGGTTCAGTCATAACAGTGGGCTTAGCACTTGGAACACTGCTTGGTGTATAATAAATGCTGTGGGTCGTTATTATCATGAAGGAGGCAGTATTGTCATGCAAAGCTTAAACGTCTGTCTTAGGGTCACAGAGCCAGTAAGGGAAGAGAAACATGGGAACCCACGTCTGCTGATGTCAGATCGCGCACCCTAGGCCCCGTGCCAACAGGCCCCAGGGGACAGGCAGGAGCCCTGGTGCTGGCCGTCACTCTGCTGTGAGCTTCCTATTTGTGACCCTCGACAAAGCGTAGCCTCTTGGAGCCCCCAGTGTCACTTGTAAAATGAGGCTGACCACACTCACTCACCTGCCATCTGGCTGAAGCAGGGATCACTGCAAGGATCAGATATGATGCCTGGGATGGACTAAGGGCGTTCATCTACAGAAAGAATTCACTTCTGGGGAGCAGTGCCCAGTCCAACTTTTAATTTTAATTTTAATTTTTGAGATGGAGTCTCTCTCTGTAGCCCAGGCTGAAGTGCAGTGGCACAGTCTCAGCTCACTATAGCCTCCACCTCCCGGGTTCAAGAGATTCCCCTGCCTCAGCCTCCCGAGCAGCTGGGATTACAGGCATGTGCCACCACGCCCGGCTAATTTTTGTACTTTTAGCAGAGATGAGGTTTCGCCACGTTGGCTGGCTCTGGAACTCCTGACCTCAGGTGATCCGCCCACCTCAGCTTCACAAAGTCCTGGGATTACAGGTGTGAGCCACTGCGCCCGGCCCCTGTCCAGCAGTTCTATCACTGGGTCTGACTTAACAACGCTGTGCAGGAGGGAACACGTGGTGTTTCCAAGACTGACTGAGAAAATCAGGTGAGAGTACGAGGCAGTGCGCAAACCAGAAGAAACAGTTCCCTTGGAAGCGGGGAATCCAGAAGCAGCCTCTGCCTGGTGGTAACACCAGTGCACGGGGATCTTAACCTCCCCAGCCAGCCCTCTCTGGGTCTCCCTTGAAACTCACAGCACCTTTCCACCAGTGAGGACACTGAGCCCCAGGCGGAGACTGTTTGCCTAAGACCGCACAGCCAGCATGTGGTGGGGCCTAGATTTGAAGCCGGGTCACCGGCTCACCAAGTACATGGCGTGCCACACACGCTGTGGACAGCAGGGCTCCTGTGAACTGGGTGGATTCGGATGCAGCCTCCCCGGACTGCCCTGACCTGAGTCACCCTGCAGCATTGTTCAGGAGGGTGTGAGAGGGCCCTTCCCACTGGACAAGCACTCCTCTCTCACACACACAGAAAGCCACTGTGTGGCCCTACAGACCCTGTCCCGGGTGGCACACTGGGCGGACGGCAGGTGGGGGCAGCGATGCCGGGAGTGTGTTTTGTTTGGCTGCATTAATCATCCCTGGCTGGGAACAGCCCCTAGGGCAGGAGAGCAAAACCTCCTTCCGTCCCCTCTGCCACGCCACTCACTCCCCTACCGTGCAGCCACTGCCCAGTACTGGGCCCTCTCTCCTCCATGCACTAGCTTTTCGAGAGGTACTCTCTTTGCTTTCGTGTTTTTTTTTTTCTTTTGAGATGGAGTCTCACTCTGTCGCCCACATTGAGTGCAGGGTACAATCTCAGCTCACTATAACCTCCACCTCCTAGGTTCAAGTGATTCTCCTGCCTCAGCCTCCTGAGTAGCTGGGATTCCAGGCACCTGCCACCATACCCAGCTAATTTTTTTGTATTTTTAGTAGAGATAAGGTTTCACCATGTTGCCCAGGCTGCTCTAGAATGACTGACCTCAGGCAATCCGCCCACCTCAGTCACCCAAAGTGCTGGGATTACAGGCATGAGTCACGACACTCAGCCTCGATCGGTATTATCTTTATTTCCTCTTCTCCCCTCAATGAAGAAATTAAGGCTCAGAGACGGAAACTGACTTGACCAGAGATACTCAGCTAGAAAGCATCAGGGTTAGAACCCGCAGCGGAGACTGAAGGAATCCAGAGCTTGTGCACCTGGCCCCTCCTGCTTCACAGGGCTCTGCCCCTTTTCCAGTTCCTAGACTCCTGGGCTAGGAACTGAGAATCCTGGGTCCCAGTTTCAGCTCTTCACAACTAGCACAGTGACCCGGGCACTTCACTGCCCTGAGGCTCAGTTTCTCCAGTTGCAAGATGAAGAGAGATGGAGCCGAGGCTCAAGGCCCACATGGGTACTCCATTGCCATCAGCGCCCCAGACAGGAGCTTCTTCCTAACAAGTGAATCTCTGAGGCTGGGCCCAGGGGCCACATGGTAGAGGCTTAAACACCCAGGAATGTGGCTTCAACAGTCTCAGCTGAAATGGAACAGACAGCCCACCCATGGTTCTCAGGCATTGCAGAGACAGAGGGAGAATCAAACAAGACCCTGCCCTAGAAAGCGCACCATCTAGATGAAAAGACAAGCCCGGCAGCCTCTAAACCAGGCGTCCCCAAACTACGTCCCGCGGGCCGCATGCGGCCCCTCGAGGCCATTTATCCGGCCCCCCGCCGCACTTCAGGAAGGGGGGTGGTCAGTGAGAGGAGCACAGTATGTGGCGGCCCTCCAACGGTCTGAGGGACAGTGAACCGGCCCCCTGTGTAAAAAGTTTGGGGACGCCTGCTCTAAACAGAACAGGCTGGGCGGTGGCTCAGGCCTGTCATCCCAGCACTTTGGGAGGCCAAGGTGAGAGGATCACAAGGTCAGGAGTTCGAGACCGGCCTGGCCGATACGGTGAAACCCCGTCTCTACTAAAATTACAAAAATTAGCCTGGCATGGTGTGGCAGGCCTGTAGTCCCAGCTACTCCAGAGGCTGAGGCAGGAAAATCACTTGAACCTGGGAGGCAGAGGTTGCAGTGAGCCAAGATGGCGCCACTGCACTCCAGCCTGGGTGACAGAGCAAAACTCTGTCTCAAAAAAAAAAAAAAAAAAAAGAAGAGTCTGAGGCTGGTTAACTGGGGCTGAATGCTGTGCTCAGAGAGGCCCTTTGTCGGGGAAAGCTGTGGGAAGGGGACTCCAGCTGGGCTGAAGGAAGAGAGGATCTGAGGAGCAACCCGAGAGATGGCTAGGTGGGCTGCAAAGCCCCTGCCAGCTTTCCAGAGTGCCAGGCTCCCACTGACTTGAGGAGAAAATCCCAGCTTTGCTCTAAGCAACTGAGCACTTGATTATATACCATCTCCTGCCACTCACGGTCAGGCATGTTCTATCCTTGTCTCTGCACATTGATGATAAGTCCCTGAATGTGCAGAAGATGCATCTGTCCTCTACACACTGCTGGGCAGAGTGGACAATCTCATCAACCTGCTGGCGGGGGCACAACCGGTAACAATGTTTCCCCTTCAATAGCGTCTCTCCTCCCTCCCCACACTCAGGAAGACCTGGCTGCTTCGCCTGCATCTCGGGACTGTGGTGGGAGCGGTATCTGACCCTCCTTCTAGGACTTCCAGACCACGATTGCAGAATCTTCTCCCCTGAGCCTGGAGCACCTACCTAGGGTACAAATCATCATGACATAATGACTGCACTCTCTGGCTCAGAAGCTACTTATGAGCCACACACCCTTTGAGTGCTTCCTTTAATAGTTCTGTGCCTCGATCTTCTCACCTGTCCTATGGGGATAATAATAATAATAGACCTACGTCTGAGGGCCCTGTCAGGAAGAAATGACACCTGTCCACCTCTGAGCCCAGATACATGCTTGAGCTACAGGTGCCATTATCAGCATGGTCTTCCCACGCTTCCCACCCACGCCAATGAGTCCTTCAGGACCTCTGCACATACTCTCCAGGGCAGCAGCTCTTACGTGGGAGCCTGACCCTGGAGAGGAAGAGCAAAGACCGCAAACCCACACTATACACCAGCTTTATGACGTGTCTACCACGTGCTCACACAGATCATCTCATTTCACCCAGCCGCCACGGAAGTGCTGCTGTTCTTCCTCTTTATTTATGGAGGCTTAGAACAGGCAAGGAACTTGCTCTAGGAAGTGTCTGGGGCAGGATCTGAACTCAGGGCGGCCTCCCACCCCGCCCCTCTGCCTCCCCACACAAGATGACTCCCCCAAGAAGCAGCTAGTTCTTTCAGGCTTTCTTTCCAGCTTGTTCCAGAACAATGGGCCCTTCAAACCCTCCTCCACATCCACAGGGCTTCTGGCCGCCCCAGCTGCTCTGCTGGGGAAGTTCTGCTTTTTATCCTCCCTGTCCTTCCACAGGACTGTTCCCAAAGTGCTCCATGCCCCTCAACAGCAAAAAGGCCTCGAGTTGTCCGGGCCAAGGGGATGTGATCCTCTCTTCTCTGTCCCACCCTCCAGGGTACCCGACTTCTGCCCGGGGATTCTGCCTGGTCCCTATGTCACCCACCTCCAGGGCTGGGCTTCTTCTCCCCCTGCAGTGGGGGTTCATACTTACCTGCATTTTCTCCAGCATCTCGAAAAACTCCGACGACTGAAAGACAAAAGCGGGGGACAGAAAGACGGGGATCAGCCCGGAGGTCCACGGCCAAAGCCTCTTCCTCACCAACCGTCTGGAAGTTGAGCCAGGGGCTTCCCCAGGGACAACATTCATTTGGATCAACAGAGAAGATAATTTGATTTTGGCTGTGCAGGGCTAGAAGGCCGAGCACCCCACACGGCAAGAGAGAGAATACGGCAGCCCAGGCTGCGAACACTCGGCCCTAGGGACAGACACTCGGCCTCTGCCAAGATAAGGGGCCTGCAGGGCCCCTGGGAAAGGCCAGATTCCACAAATGCCTGCCATCCTCAGGATTCAGCCTCCAGCAGAAGCCACATGTAGGATGTTTTCAACCCAGCAATGGGGTCAAGGTGTCCACGTAAGTGACGTTCTGTACCCTGATACAGGAAACCCACCAGTCAAAGTAGAGCTGCTGTGGCCAGAGCAGCAGGGCCGGGGGGTGGGGGAACTGAGTCCCAGCTGTGCCGCCTCTGCCTCTGCCTGCCCTGTCCCCTGCCCCCAAGGCACCACTTTGGGACCCTAAAGCTGGTGAAACAAAACCTGAACACCACTGAACCTAGGCCTCTGAGTCCCCAGAGGGGTTTTTTTGTTCTGTTTCGTTCTGTTTTTGAGACGGATTCTCGCTCTGTCGCCCAGGCTGGAGTGGTGCAATCTCAGCTCACTGCAACACCCATCTCCCGGGTTCAAGGGATTCTCCTGCCTCAGCCTCCCAAGTAGCTGGGATTTCAGGCGCCCACCACGCCTAGCTAATTTTTGTAATTTTAGTAGAGATGTGGTTTCACCATGTTGGCCAGGCTGGTCTTGAACTCCTGACCTCATGTGATCTGGCCACGTAAGCCTCCCAAAGTGCTGGAATGACAGGTGTGAGCCCTGTGCCCAGCCTAGATGGATTATTTTAAATCCCAAACTGCATTTGTCCAGACCTTTAACCTACTTTGGTGCCACCCTTGTCTACTCCAGTAAAAGCAAAAAGGAGCAAAGGGAAGTGGAATGGAAGCGTGAGGGGCTGGCAGCTGCACCCCAACAAAACACACACAGAGGTCCTACCACTTCCCGTCCCATAAAACTACAACCCTTTCTCAAACGAACGTCGCTGCCCACATCTGGGCACGGGAAGCCGTGAGTCAGTAAGTACCCAGAAGAGACGGTCTCCAGTGAAGAACAGAGAAAAGAAAGCAGTGATGAGCAACGCTGTGTCTGTCCTCAGCACGTCCTCACGCACAGGTGGGGCCCCCAAGCACTATCCCTAGCTCTGCAGGCACCGTGGGCCAGAACTGCCTGCAGCTCCCACTGCTCCCAGAATTCCCAGAACCATCCTGGGAAGGAGCCTGGCGAAGTCCCTGGAGAGACCCAGCCCTGCTGTTGACCCCAGACAGCCTCTGTCAGGCCAAAGCCAGCCTGTCAGAGGCAAAAAGCCCCTGACCCACCAGCAGTTCAGGATCTGGCATCTAGAAAGCTCATGAATGAGTGTACGGGGTGGGCTTAGGGCACCCACATCCAACTCCCTTAAGCAGACATGAGCCGTCAAACATCCAGATGCCAAGCCTCCTCTTCCCACCTGCTCTGGATATACATGCACCACCCATGCTGTGCAGTGCTCACCATCTCCAGGCTTAGGAGGCCAAGATTACCAGACATAAAGAGCTTACGCCCATCAATAAGGATAGAAAGATGAGCAGGAAGAGGATAATGGAACAGAAACAATCAACATTTTAAATACGCAGACCTCTGACCCACGATTCCACATCTAACAATCCATCCTCTAACACACTTGCAATGCACACAAAGACAGACAGACTCAAATGTTCACTGCAGCACTGTTTCTAACCATAAAAAGTAAAAACAACTTACATGTCTGCAGAAAACTGGTTAAAATAAGCTACCTGCACAGGATAAAATACAAATACTATAAACTATAGGTGAATAAATTGGATGACTTAGATGAAATGAACAAATTCCTAGAAAAACACAACCTATCAAAACCTACCCAGTAAGAAATAGAAAGTCTAAAGAGGTAACAAATAAACAGATCAAACTCATTATCAAAAAATAATGCATAAAGAAAAGCCCAGACCCAGATGGCTTCGTTTGTAAATTCTAACAAACATTTAAAGAAAAGTTAATACTAATTCCTCATACTTACTATCAGGTAAGCCAGAAGAAATTGTACAGAATGGTAGAAAATATTCGCAAATCATGTATCTGATAAAGGACGTGTCTCTACGAAAACAACTCATACAACTCAGCAAGAAAGAGACAACTCAATTTTAAAATGGGCAAAGGATCTAAATACACATATCCCAAAGAAGAAATACAAAGGGATAATAAGTACATGGAAAGACACTCAAACCACTAGTCATCAGGAAATGCAAATCAAAACCACAGCGCGCTACCACTCATCACCACTAGCATAGCTGTGATAAAAAAACAGAATACCCCAAGTGTTAGCAAGGATGTGGAGAAGTCAGAGCCCTCAGGTGCGGCTGGGAGGAATGTACAACAGGACAGCCGCTGTGGAAAATAATTTGGCAATTCCTCAAAAAGTCCCACATAAACTATGACCACATGACCCAGCAATTCTACCCCTAGGGATAGACACAAAATAACTGAAAACAGGTATTCAAGCAAATACTTATACACAAACATTCACAACTGCATTCTTCACTCTTGCCAAAAGATGGGTACAACCCAAATGTCTATCAACTGATGAATAAACAAAATGTGCTGTGTCCATACAATGGAATAATATTCATAGCCATTAAAAATAATGTACTGGGCCTGGCACGGTGGCTCACGCCTGTAATCCTAGCACTTTGGGAGGCCGAGGCAGGGATCTCACAAGGTCAAGAGATAGAGACCATCCTGGCCAATGTGACGAAACCCCATCTCTACTAAAAATACAAAAATTAGCCAGGCATGGTGGCGTGTGCCTGTAGTCCCAGCTACTCGAGAGGCTGAGGCAGGAGAATCTCTTGAACCTGGGTGGCAGAGGTTGCAGTGAGCCAAGATCGTCGCCACTGCACTCCAGCCAGGCAACAGAGCAAGACTCATCAAAAAAAAAAAAAAAAAAAGTACTGATACATCCCACAACCCTGATGACCCTTGAATACATTATGCCAAGTGAAAAAAGGCAGACATAAAAGACCATGATTCCATTTTCATCAAATGTCCAGAGTATACAACTTCATAGAGACAGACAGATTAGTGGCTGCTTAGGCTGAGGGGATGGGGGATTAGAAGCTTATAGCTAAAAAGTACAGATTTCATTTCAAGGCAATAAAAAGGTTCTAAAATTGATTATGATGATGCTTGCACAGCTCCGTGAATACCACCAAAATCTATTGAATTGTATACTTTAAATAAGTAACTTTATGATATATAAATTATATTTTAATAAAGCTGTTCAAAAAAACTATGCAGTCATTCAAAAAGAAAGGAATAGATTCGTGTTGCTTACATATGACACTCTCCAAGATATATTAAGTTTGGAGGTGGAGATCAGAGAACAATACATTGAATATAATCCCACTTTTATAAAAACAGCCAGGCACAGTGGTTCACACCTGTAATCCTAGCTCCTCAGGAAGCTGAGGCAGGAGGGTCCCTAGAGCCCAGGAGTTCAAGGCTGCAGTGAGCTATGATCATGCTTCTGTACTCTACCCTGAGTGACACAGTGAGGCTCCATCTCTTTTTTAAAACAAAGAACACTGTAAAGCTACCTATATTATGTATGTATATAAATTCATAGAAAATGCTCTAGAAGACTATACCTCAAACTATCCAAAAGTGATTATATGAATAAATGAGGGGCCAGGTGACATGGCTCATGCCTGTAATCCCAGCACTTTGGGAAGCCAAGGCGGGCAGATCACAAGGTCAAGAGATCAAGATCATCCTGGCCAACAGGTGAAACCCCGTCTCTACTAAAAATTAAAAAATGAGTGGAGCGTGGTGGCGCATGCCTGTAGTCCCAGCTACTCGGGAGGCTGAGGCAGGAGAATCGCTTGAACCTGGAAGACTGGAGACTGCAGTGAGCTGAGATCATGCCACTATACTCCAGACTGGGTGATAGAGCAAGACTCCATCTCAAAAGAACAAAGAAAAATTAGCTGCGCGTGGTGGTGCATGCCTGTAATCCCAACTACTTGGGAGGCTGAGGTACGAGAATCGCCTGAACCCAAGAGGTGGAGGCTGCAGTGAACCGAGATCCCACCACTGCACTCCAGCCTGAGTGACAGAGCAAGACTCCACCTGAAAAGAAAAGGACAGGAAAGAAAATCTGCAACTGTCTCAAAATACGTGCAAAGGACACGAACACATGATTAAAGGACAAACATAAAGTGACCGATGACCACATGGAAACAAGCCCAAGCTCTCCAGTTATTAAAGAAATTAAGATCACAGTAAGATATCATCTTCCACTATCTGATTGCCCAGTGCTGGGAATGATATGGGGTCCAGGCTGCAGGAACTATGGGTGAGTGCGTCCCTGACACAGCCTTTCTAAAGGTACTATGTGGCCCAAACTTTTAAAATATCCACGTCTTTTGGTCCAATAAACCCACTCTAGGGAATTTACACTAGAACAATCGTCAGACCATAGTGTAAGAACACATATCCAAGACCGCTTGTCCCAGCAATGTTTACAGGCCAAAAGTATGAGCGGTGAGGGGAAGGACCCACCAGAGAGAGGAAAAAGAAATGAGGCACAGGGGTCACTCATACAATAAACTACGACGAGAGGATGTCTGTGTTTATGATGCTACTGCAAAGGTTCACAATGCCTTGCTAAGTGAGAAAAACAGGGTTTTGAACAAGACGATCCCACCTGTTTCCAAGAAACAGAAAGAATGTGTTTGTGTAGGTAGGTGCAGGACTGCATCGAGGGAGGGTGTGATCACCCCCACGGCACAAGAAAAATATCCTGAAGGATACGCAACAAAATGAGGTTGAAGGCAGGGATGATTTTCCCC